TGGAGAAATAAGAGGTGAGGGTCCAAAACGTGGACAGTTAAACAGTGGAGAATTAACCATTTCCAACAAATATAAGCTTAAAATTCACATTATAATGTTTACATTTTTTTCAATCAACTTGATCAACTAAATCAAACATCTATATAATAAAGTAGGATGATTTTTAAATTTATCCTACACACATTTGTCCTACTAGGACATTTGAACGGTTCAGATCTATTCAAACTATAAAACAACAGCTGAGGAATATCCTACATGTACATTTTCTATTTTTTCGTTTCTCTCTTACTTTTTCTTTTTCTCTCACATCCTCTATGATCTCATGATCCTACCTTTCTCACTCTTTTTTTTTATTTTTTTATTTTCTCTCATTTTTATTTTTCTCTCTATTTGTTTATTTTTTTTATTTTCTCCTTTTTGTTCATTTATTTTTATTCATATTATATGGAAAAGTCTACGATCCCAGAATTAGTAGCCAGATTTTACTGTGTGTAGTGGAGATTATATTAATGAATTTTTTAGTCCACAAATTAAATGAATTTGAACAATTAATTATTATTTTTAAATATATTGATTACCTGATTGACTTTGTAAATTTAGACCTCATATGAATCTTCAACATCTATATACTAGAGCATGATGGTTTTTGAATTTATTCTACACACATTTGTCCTATTAGGACATTTGGACGGCTTAGATCTATTCAAATTATTAAACAACGACTGAGATATATTTTTCAAAAAATATCCTATATGTACATTTTTTATTTTCCTTTTTCTCTCTCTTACTTTTTCCTCCTATCCTATCTTTCTATGATCCCATGATCCCACCTTCCTCACTCTTTTTTTTTATTTTTTTTATTTTCTCTCATTTTTATTTTTCTCTCTATTTGTTTATTTTTTTTATTTTCTCCTTTTTGTTCACTTATTTTTATTCATAATATTTGGAAAATTCTGCGATCCCAGAATTAGGAGCCAGATTTTACTATGTGTCGTGGAGATTATATTAATGAATTTTTTAATTCACAAATTAAATGAATTGAATAATTAATTATTATTTTTAAATATATTGAATATTTATAGACTTCATAAATTTAGACCTCATATGAATCTTCAACATATATTTTAATAAAACATGACGGTTTTTGAATCTTCAACATATTTTTATCCTATTAGGATATATGGATGGTTCAGATCTATTCAAATTATAAAATAATGACTAAAATATATTTTTCTAAATTAAATTGCATAGACCCAGTTCAGCTCTGCCTCTCCTAACCAACCCATCTTTTATGAATCTCATTTTTTTTTTTTTTTTTTCTTCTTTCCCTTTTCTTTATCATTATCCCCCATGTGTAGAATCGAAATGGACAAATTGATTAGGCCGAATCATTGCATAGAAATATCATTATTTGATTGATCTAAGTTCATGCAATTTATTATTTATTAAAAATTTCTTTTGGTCAATCGTTGAATTGAATAAAAATTTCTTTTACATATACATTTTTTACTTTTATGCTTCTCTCTCTCTTTCTTTTTCCTTTTTTCACATCCCTCCTTCCATGACCCCATGATCTCGCCTTCCTCTCTCTTTTCTTTTTATTTTTTTATTTTCTCCTATTTTTATTTTTCTCTCTATTTGTTTATTTTTTTAATTTTCTTCTTTTTGTTCAATATATTTTACACATATTTCCATATAAATGTATGTATGAAAAACACAAAATCCAACAAATTTAAAAAATGAAAGGTCGAGATGAAAGACAGATAGAAATTTTCATAAGAGAAAAATAAATGGAGAGAATTGACAATTATTAAGGATAATAGGTAATTATTTTACAAGTCCGCACAATCCAAACTTTCAATGTTTAATTGAACAAATGAGATTTTTTCAATTTCTACTTCAAAATTATAACTCCAAAATTTAGTAGGTTCATATTCGTGTTATATGATGTCCATTAACATATAAGATATTACATTAGATAATGTTTAAATAAGTAATGATATATAAATATAATTTTATACAAAATTTTCATACAGAAATATGTGATACTTTATTCTTCTTTCATTTCCCATTAAAATATCTTTCATTATGATTTATAATTTTAACATTACCACTGTCACGTCATTCTAATTGAATTTTTTTTGTAAGAAAATTTTGCTTGCAAGTCATTTTCCTTTTCAAATATAATACTTAAATGTGATTATCTTATCATATTCTTTTTGTGGAGAGTAAGGATATATAAGCATTGGGTTGGCCAGACCGACACTATATACTAAGGGCATGTTTGATTGGAAGGATTAAAGGATGGGATTGGGATTATTAATCCGTGGACCCAATTATCCTATGTTTGTTTTGACATTTTGGTTTAGAATTATTAATCCAATGGATAATTAATCCAACAAATTTGTAGGATTATTAGTAATGGGGTAGGAGTGGAATAGTTAATACCACACTAATTTGATAGAATTATTAATACCTCACTATTAGTGGTGTGAATCAAACATGACCTAAGAGTATGTATGTCATCTCAATCCTGGCTTGGCTTGGCCCGACATTAAACCTAACCTAACCACTCTAAGTTCGATTTTAAAATAATATCTAAATTTCAAATTCATTCACTTGACCCAATACATATATGTTTATTTTTTTTCATGTCAAAGGGCTATTAAATTTTTTAATCGTTTCTAATAACTATTTAAATTTAAAATTTTAAAAAATTTTAATTACAAAATAAATATGATTTTGTAAGAAATGCTTTAATCTAAGACATAGAAAAGCATATATATATTATCTTGTATTATTTTTTTAATTTATTTTGTAACTAAATAATATAAAAATTAATAGTAATATTAATATTTTCAAATAAGCGGGCTATTCTGGCCGGGTTAAAATTCTTTATCACAAGTCCGTCTACAAATTAAGCCCTCGTTTGGTTTTCTCATCGAAGCTAAAAAAGCACAAAAAGACAAAATATGCTATATAAGCCAATGAGACAAAATACTACTTTTTACCTATAATCATTATACTTTTTCTCTCACAAAAGTCAAAAAAATCCTAAAATAAAAACCAAACGAGGTTAAAAAAGTCTCAACACAAAAAAACTAACTATATTAGCCAATGTCAAACGACCCCTAAATAAACTCCAAAATTTTGGTTAGTCCTACTTTATGAGCTAAATACTTTTAAAAATTTTAAAAATATTAGACTGGTGCCGGCGATTACACCGATGGCCACTCCTAGTAGAGAGTAATAGTGTGAGATCAATTATCTTGAAATAACAATTCAGAATAAGTTGTCCGAAGATGGATATTTTTAAAAGGATCGAGTTTTTTTGGGTTGACAATTTGAGAGTGTTTAGGTAGACTTATTTTGATATTAATTTCAATGATTCGAACCGTTTATCTTTTAGGACTTGCTAAATAGAATATTTATACAAAAAATAAAGATAATCAGATATCGATAGTTATATATTTGAATCAAATTTGTATTATAAAAAATGAATAATTATTCTTAAAATTATATTTATCGTCTATCTTTTTAAAATAAATATAACTCAAACATATATTATCAATGACCAATCATCTTTATTTTTTACATAAATATATTTTTTTAACGAATCTTAAAAATTAAACGGTTTGGATCATCAAAATAAATTCCAAAATGAGTTTAATAAATCCAAATGCTTTCTGAAGTTGAGATGACAATGAAAAATATTTGAAACTCTCATAAATCTTTCACAATTCAACCCACAATAATATAATCTCACAAGTGTTAATTTTTAACTGATTATATACTCAATGATATAAGACTCGTCACCATTACCACATCATTATGAATGCATCTGTACATGCAAAATATGAATCTTCAATATTATTGAGATGATAATTTAAGAAAAAACAAATCTTTTTTAAAATTCTATGATAAAAATATGGTGGTGCTTGGCAATGATATCGTGGTGGTGGGGTTAGAACATTCATGTAGGAGTAACATGATTGATGTGGTGGGGATGGCAGAAGATTTTATTAGCAAGTGTAAATAATTTTTTTTTTTTTTTTTTTATTAAGATTGTTAAGATTTTTGTGTCTATCAGCTGCCGTTGGATCCTAGTTCCAAACAAAAAAAAAACAACTGCCGTTCGATCTTTATTTCTTGGAAGGCGGCTGATCCTCCAATTATTATAATTTTTTTTGAAGTGGACCACCACACCAGGGCCCAAAAGTTATGACAAATGCATGAAACATGGACCCCCATGGACACCGTTGTCTTCACCCTCTCTTCCTTCCTTTTCACTGGGCTACTTTGTTTGATAAGAACTAATTATTATTTTTATTTACTTTAAGTTTAAAGTAAATAAATTTGTTCACGAAGATTCTCCAGGGATCATGATTTGAAGCCCACCCCCTCAACTCTCCAAATCAAGAGCTCGTGATGGTGATGGTGATTTGTAAATCAAGTTGAGAAGAGAGAGGAATGGAGAGAGGGAGGAGCGTAGAGAAATGTGGGGTGGTTGCGACGGCGGGAGAGGATGGGAAGAACTGCCAAGGAAAGGTGGGGAGGGGTTCAGTCGCCTATGCGTAAATTAGGGTTTGCAAATAAAAAATAAAGGAGAAGATTGGATAGAGAAACGAAGGTAAATTGATAATTTTTCTCAATAATTATTTTACAGTCAGTACAATCTTTCATGTCCCTTGAAATTATTTTTTCTATTCCCCAACCCATTTTAATTATTTTTGTTCTTCCTATTTATTTAAAAGTTGGACATATTATTCCACTATAGAAAAATATTTTCAGAGATTTTTTTTCAAGTGAAAGAAAATATACAAATAATTTTATTTTCATTAATTATGTAAAAAAAAAAAATTGAGAAAAAATATTTACTTCGGGAAATAATTATAATAAGACTTGTACTTTCATACAATTATGCATGTAAGAAATAAAAATGAAAACATTTTATTTTCTTTCTAATTTTTTGTTTCCCTTGCGCAATTTTAAGTGGTCGATGAAACAATCTGAAGCAGGCTTTGCCTTCACCCTAATCAACAAAAATTACAAATTTTAGTAGCTTAAAAGTTATTTTCCATTTTTTTTGAAATGTGAGATACCTTTTGAAATAAAATCTTACCAATGTGCCGCCACCACCTCCATCACTAAACCTCTACATCATCACTAACACATGTTTCAAAATTGCAACCAAGCATAAAAAAACATTTTTTTTTACCAAAAATATTTTTTACTGAAACCAACAGAATATGATCAAACCCGATCCTCTCCCCTTGAAAGGCATCAAAGACCGTTGACAATTTTTCTCTGATGAATGTAGAGGAAGTAGTGAAACCGGTTTCAATCAGTCAATGATTCCACCAACTTTACCTATGATTCCACCAACTTTACCAGACACAACCATCAGCTAAAGCAAGTTGCAGAGTGGCCTCACCACCCCATTATTCATGCGTCTTCAACAACCCTGAAACATCAGCAAATTTCAATTGTACGCTTTCAAAGCAGCATTTTCACAAGTTGCAAAATGCAAGCCCTAGTACTCCTGTTTTGTTGCAGAGCTTTGCAGATTGCTAGATATTAGCAACTTTGCCCTTGCAATTCAAACAGTGGCTATCGAGGCCTAATAATGAACAAATGAACGTTCCCAAATCCAGATCGCCTCAGAATTTGCAGCGTATCAGAAATCAGATGATATCAGTGCATGCACTGAGCTGAAAAGAAATCCCATTTCGCCAAAGCACCTTTAATACCAATGTGGCTTATCATAGTATGATCATTCCGCAATCCGCTTTTCTTTGTTTTGGGTTTTGATTCACTCCTTAATTGAAAACTTTCCGAGAGAGAGAGAGAGAGAGAGATTAAATCAAGAAGAGAAGGAGCAATATCAGGACATATTTTAACAAATTACTGACCAAATAACAACTTCAACAATGGAATGCAACAAACCAGAACTTCTAAGATAATTCACTCCAAATATAGTAGTAGTAGAAAAGAAAACCAAAAAAAAGGCAGAAAATAGGGAGAAAGGAGGAAGGTAGACACTACTCTACAGCAACAGCAATACAAGCAGTATGCCAGAAGTAATGATATCAGGCACAACTATGCAAGGCTTCAATTTTATTTTATTTTTATATATATACTTTTTGCTTGAGAAATATCACTTGCGCTTGTAAAAGCATATGTGAGATCTAGTTACAAGGGATAGTCACACCTTCTCAGGTCTCTTGTGAAGAAGGGATGTCTAAGAGCTTCCCTTGCTTTGAGCCGCTCTGCTGGGTCATATCGCAGAAGCCCTTGTAAGAGATCAATCAGATCACCAGCAGAGTGATCCACATGCCGCATTATCAGGTTCTGCAAGTATTATAAAAAATAAAATAATAAAAAAAGGAGAGAGAGAGAGACAGAGAGGAGAAGAAGAAGAAGAAGAAATTAATACATAAAGAAGACAAGGGAAAATATTATAAGAACAAGATGATGGTCTCTTTATTTTTTTTGGTTACATCGGAAATAAAGATGATGATCTCTGAAGATGTATTTACATGATCATAAACCAGGCATCATTTATCAATATTGGAAATGCAAAAGACATGGAAAACCTACAAAACAAGTGGGAAACATACAAGACATTTTATGGCCTGCATAATCAATAGGACAGTTGCTCAAAATGATATGTTGATGATGTAAGCTTTGGGGGCAATTGGTTGTCGAATGTGAAATCAAATCTTTGGTTTTGGTTCAAGTCTTCTTGTATTTGCTTGTCCCTCGTTATGTTTGCAAGTGTGCAATGTGTTTTATGTAATTATGTGCATCCCATTTTAAATAGTTGCATCTCTCCATATGCCCAAGGGGATTGCATGAGAGTAAAGATGTGAAAGGCATGGCGCAGGAGTTTGGCCACACAAAGAAGCATTTTGACGATAAAATAGATACACAAGTTACACCCTTTCTAACTGCTTGCACTTTCAAGGCAACTGGTTGTCCAACATGAGAAATAGAAAGAATAAATTATGCAATATGTTGTAGCATGCAAGAATGCGAGGACAAGTCTTGTAAGAAAATGTTAGAGAGCCTCTTGTGTGTGTGTGTGTGTGTGTGTGTGAGAAAGAGAGAGACAGAGACAGAGACAGATCCTGAGACAGAGACAGAGGTAATAGTAGTATCTCACAAACATGACCCTTACCCAGAAACTAGGAGTTCATACCAAATCTTATGAGTTTAAAGAAGAAAAAGAATGCCAAATCTTTTGTGTGAGAGAGAGAAGAGCCAGAAAAGCTCTATATATCTTGGTAAGTTTATACCTAGTTGCAAATGAAAACCGAAGCTTTCAAAACTATAAATCACAAACTACTTCATGTTCGAGTGAGAATAGTGATCAAAGAGTAGTATGGTCACAATACATGGCTAAACGCCCATCAATTAATATGTGTGACCCTTTAACCATCCAGACACTAATTCCTGTGAAAAATGGCTAGTGCAAAAAGTGAATCCATGTTAGGCAATGCTACTCAGTAATATCATCTCACACTAGGTTATGGTAGAAGAAAAATTGAGCACTTTTGGCAACAAGACATACACACAAAAGATCAAATTTTCAAGAATGAAAAAATGCATAATGATATACATGCCATATCTTCACAACATTTGTAGCAGCTTTCCAGTGAGCAGAACAAAATGGCAAACCAAAATCTTGCTAAAAATTTAGAGTTTCATTTGGCAGGGAACATTGCACACCCAGAGGGAGCAAATAACACATGTTTCCTCTTACAAACCTTTATCCATCAAACCAAAGATGATGATGTGTTGGAAGTACCGAATGATTCTGATAACAGTTCAGAACAAACAAAATCTAAAAACTACCTGTAGACGGGGTAATTTCCATACTGCCCGCATACTTTGTCTTGAGGTTGCACTCTCAGGCCAATCCAATTGTGCACCCCTCTTGAAATATTTCTCAGCACGATTGCTGAAAAAACTTAAACATGAGCTTTCTCCACGCTATGAAGCACAAAAATAGTATGAATTGAACAAATAGAAATAACTGATCTTACTCAGCTCTAACAATCATATGTTGTGGCAGTGGCCCTAACACCCTCTCCATCATAGCCAGATGTTCCAAGTTCTCGTGTGTTTGAAAAAGGGCATCGCCCTGTTCATGAAAAACGTAAACACAAAAGAACATAAGGATAACAATATACAAACAGAAATTCTATACAAAATTTTCATATAAAAAGATGACTTGTAATTTCAAAATTGCCACGGCCACATCATTCTTTTTTATAAGAAAATTTTATTTGTAAATCATTTTCCAAAACATAAATAGAAGCTTCAAAGTGAATGATTGATTGAAGTATTCAATAATGTATGAGCAAAACCAGTAAAACTTGCCAGATCAATCAAAAGTACTTGACATTCTAGAAAGGGACTAGTTTCCTTCATAATTCTTTAACTTGATAAAACTTCACTTTTAAAGAGCGCTGCTATCTTATAAGTGACTGCTCATCACATTGAAAATTGGACTTTCCAATGAATCTTCAAAAATTCATCTTAACAATATCATCAACAGATGAAAGACAAACTAAAATCAATGTTGTATATAATAGAAACAAACAAGAAAATGTAAAGTAAACCAGAAAAGGCATAATCATACTTACAGAGCAAAGTTCAACGAGTATACAACCTATGCTCCACAAATCACAAGGATAGTTCCATCCAAGACCTACAGAAAACAACATAGCAAATAATGTTAAGACTTCAACATTAAAAGACAAACATCAAAATACTGACCACAAAACCAGATAACAGATGGCAATTACCAAGAATAACCTCTGGTGCACGGTAATGACGCGTTGACACCACATAGCTGTGGTCCTGATGTTCAAACGTAGTACTCCCAAAATCAATTAGCTTAATTGCACTTGACTTTGGCAGATTCTTGAAATATGAACCATCTTTCGTGGATCGTGATAGACACTCGAATGAAGGCAAAATAAAATCAAATATCAGCATTTTGAAGTTGAAATAAGATTATCAAACTAATAAGCACCAACCTAGCAACTGTAACAACAGTTTAACATATCGAGTAAGAGATAAACATCGTAATAGATTAAATTAAAATTGGACCCAAGATTCTTATTTTCAGTAACTCACAAAGAACACCGAAAAAGGGTATTCAATATCAATTGCCTCCTCATACACCTCCCCACCCCCAAAAAAGAGGCCAGCATATCAATTGTTAAATATAAATTCCTGGTGAATTGGACTAGAGCACACCCTAATTCAGATAAATCTGATAAGTTGCAAGGTCAGGCACACATGCAAACCACTATAAAAGATAAACAAATGATAAGAACATGCTACATGAAGCAATACCTTATAATCCGGCACTTTAACATACTCTGGTGAAACAAGAAGAATATTTTCTGGTTTCAGATCTGTGTGAATTAGGCGTAAATCATGCATAACTGCAAAAGTAAGCAAGCAAAATGAATGAGAACCAGAAGCTGATTAATCATCAATTCAAAACTCATGCTTGTCCAAACAAATATTACTCCAGGTTCCAATCTAATGCTAAATATATCAGAGATGGAAATAAAGATCTAGATATGCCCAAATCTGAGCTTAATTTAAGAGGAAGTGACCATCAAGACAGAACAACATAGAAAAAGCGATGCAAGATGTGTGCACACACATGCTACAGATTCCAAAAGTTGTCTGCCGAACTCCCGCACAAGATCAATGGGAAATGAACGATAGCTGTTTTTGCGGAGAAAATCATATAAGCTTGGTCCAAGCTTCTCAAATACCTGCGAAAACCATTTAAATCCATTTGCAAGCTTTTAACTCACAGAATATTCAGCATGAAGGAACATCATTGCCCTTTCAAATCAATCAAACAACAAGTACCAATAAATACTTACAATACAAATATGATTACGATAGTCAAACCAATTCCGTATTTGCACACAACTGCAAAGAATAAAACAACTTATACCCAATCACTTTAATTTTGTTTACAATGAAAAATGGAAGCATGAAGAAAAACAGATGCCTACCGTGTGGCACCAATGTCATGCCTGGCAAGCTTTTGTAGTACATCAATTTCAATCATAGCAGCTTCGCGGTATTTGTGTAAGGAACGAACAATTTTAATTGCCACGATCTCTTTCTTTTCATTGTCCAAACATTCCAAGACTTTCCCAAAAGTCCCTGTAATTATTTTACCCAAGGGATTGAGCTGATATTATTAATGACCAGATAAATTCAAATATGAAACACTAGTTTGGATTTTAATGGCACCCTACACATGAGTGTTTCATATTAACACCAGTGACTAGGAAGAACTGCCCCATCCCTCCCTCTCAAAAAACAAAAACATAAAAAGGGAGGGGTTTTTGGGGGGAAGAAGATAGGAAGGAAAGAGGGAAGGAAGGAAGAGATCTGAACAAAGGATAAGCAAAAATACTAAGAAGAGATCTGAACAAAGAATAACCAAAAATAGTAAGATCCATGGAACCTAAGAAAACAGAGAATCTGAGAGAAACAAACAAGAAATAAGAAGCTGAAGAAAGAACTAACCTTCACCCATTTTGCTCAAAATCCTGTCTGCAAGTACAAATAAATAAAAAATGTTATTGGAGAAAAGATTACAACTATCACTCTTGGATCAAAGAAAAAGCCAATCCACAAATAATAAAAAGAACATATCTAGACATGGATTCATTTACACATAAGAGGTTGAACAAAGTCTACTCCCTCAGTCCCATTTCATGTGTCTGTTATTTTCTGGTAGTCCCATTTTAAGTGTCAAAGTTTGAAAAGTCAAAAAATGTAACCATGACTTTTCCATATCACCTTTCTTTAAATATATATTTAAATACAACCCCCAATTCCCAAAGAAGTACGCTCCAAACATGTGAATTTCATCCAAGTTTATGTGAGGCCATATTGGAAACCTGTTGTTAATTAGCTGATGTGTACTTTTGTTCTTAACTTTCCTTAAAACTGTGTGCGAGATCAATCATGCCACACAAAATGGGACAAAGGAAGTAGCCAATTCTATAAACACAGTATCACTCCAAGTTTATTTCCAAAATGAGAAAATATTAATTTAAAATGAAAAGTGTGGCAACTTGCAAGACTATGAGAGCTGCACACATAAATTTGTGCAAATCAATGGAGGATGATCAGATATTCATCTCCTAACATACCAATCAGCAGCTTGGATTTGCACTTGCCACCATTCTTGTGAGGATAAGGAAATTACATTCCAACTAACTAAGATTGATTAGCAAGACCTATTTTGTTTTCCCTTTTCACACTAAGGCCATAAAACCAAAGCATATGTTTATCAAGTTGAGCAGGAAACTTGACTTCATTTTGTAATTCCTATTTTCTATTTTTTGTACAAATAATAAAGTTTACTCCTTTTTAATGAGAAAAGACTGAGTGCAAATGAAGGAGCTTGAGAGAGACGTATTTACATGGAATAGAAGACACATAGGCATGTCAAACAAGGGAATAGAAGACAAACTTAAAGTCCCCAATGATAGGGTTGTAAACAAGTCGAGTCGAGCTAAGTAGTAGGTTGTTCAAGGTTGGCTTGAAAAATTAATGAGCTTCAAAATATGATCAAGCTTGGCTTCTTTACCTTTCGAGCCCATCTCAAATGAGTTTTAACCGAGCCAAGCTTGAGTACCTTGTTTTTTATAGTGCGTATAAGTCATGGTAGGTTTTTCAAGCTTGGATGAAAACTTAACGGGCTTTAAAATGCGTTCAAACTTGACTTGTTTATATAGCAAGCCAATCTTGAATGAGATTTTATTAAGACAGGAGTCGACCCCAAGTAGCTTAGTTTGTTTAACAGCCCTATTCAAGGATATACTGGCTTAGGATAAGGTACTAAAGGCGCATATCAAAATGAGTAAGTGTCACATATAGGAATTACACATTCTGATCAATATACTCATTTGCATTGTGAAACAAATATCAGGGAGTATATAATCCCATTGGAAACTCATGTATTAAAATTTGAGAATTAGATGAGTTGACACTGGGAATATTTATATAGATTATAAAGCGCACACGCGCGGGCGCACACACACAAAAAAACATGTTTTCTAACAAAATCTTCCAAGAAATTAAGAATAGAAAGAAAACTACTTAAAAGTACCAAATTCTTATTAAAAAGTGTCAACGAAGGGATGGACATAGCAAAAGCCATAAGATCCTTAAACTTTTCCTCTCAAAAATCTAATTTATAACACATGATCACATGACCAATCAAATCAATCCATATTATCAGATTAAATGGTCCATGAGAGCATCTTATGTTTAATTTTTTCTAAATAGAAGAAGTATGAAAAGTAAGCATTGCCTCAACTAAAAATTTTATGTGTTTCTTCTCCTTCAGTCCATGATAAAAACAACTCCACTTACTGGATTTAAATTTAATTTTACCAATAGTCCAAAACTGTTTCAGTTATGGTTAATCTATGTTTTGAAACAGTACTCAAATTCCACACAATCATCCTAAACATTATGAATACCATGACACAATGAATGATAAATCGTAGCATAGCTAGGGCATCTCAAACATATAATAATTGAAGGCAGTCAGAATACACATACAACGAGGAGATAAGTTCTCTCCAATGGCAAAAACATAGTGGCCATCTTTATCATCTGGTCTCCATGGAGGGCATCCATTGTGGGGCACTCCCTTGTAATATATCGAAGAACAAGCATAATTGGGAACTGCTCCGTTCGCAAACTCGTGCCCACAATATATTGTCGGAAGGACCTACATCACAGTTAAAATAATTAGCACGTGTCAATAAAACAGAAGTAACTTTCATAGCAAGAATAATTAAAACTTCAAAAACTTTGCAAAATTTTCAAAAATAGCATGCCCTATGCCCTCCCCCCCCAAAAAAAAAAACCCCCCAAAAAAAAAAAAAAAAAAAAAAAACCAAGAGAGAAAGAAGAATGAAAATGTTATGTGCATATTATATTTTTGGCAAAAGAGGCCAGCTCGGGAGATGGGAAAGTGAGATGTGCGATGCCTTGTAGTCACAATTGCAACCTATAATCAAGTGGAGCCCAAATTTTGAGAACTATCAAGAAGAGAAGAGACCTGGTGTGGGTCTAGCTAAACAAAAACACAATTGACATGTCACAACACTAGCTTTATAGCCAAACTCTTCTTCAACCAACATCATATGCCTATAGAAGAATTGTTCACTACATTTTGACTTTCTTGAACCATAACAGATGATGTTATATACTTGCAAATAAAGGTGGTGTATGCATGATGCTTGTATTGTAATTCTTGGAGAGAGAAAAGAGTTGTTGCAGGAGAAAACAGAGAGAAAATGAGATTATGGTGCCATCCTATGGAAACAACCTAAGCTTTATAAAAAGTAATTGCTCTTTGTTTCTATGAAATTATGGTGTCATCCTCTAATCTGGCATTGTTTTACAATTTTTATTTCTTTAATTCAAAATATTGTGAATATTAACAGACAACATACAAGAACCTATTAGAGTTAACCCAACCCAAGACATATACAGTTCAAATATGCTACAATAACCTTGTTGTCTTGTCCCCTTTCTTCAAAGCCATGTCAGATTTTTTAATTCTCAAAACCTCTTTTCAAGGAGAATATACTTCATATAGCTTAGTTATTATTCAATTTTAGAAAGGGAAGCCACAGTGCATGAGGGTCAGATGTACGCAACCTTACCACTATAGATACAAATTAAAATTGTCTTGCAAATACTAATCTTCTTAAAAAATTTAGAAAAAAATAAAATAGAATGAAAGCAGAAGTTAGAACACATATAACATAGCATTTGCCTCAAATCAATGGAATCAATAATTTATTTGCTCCTTCCTTTTCAATTAAAAACTTTTTCTTTACAAACAACATAAACAAGAAAAGTTCATAATGACTATAATAATATATCCCATACACAAATGCATAATTAAGCAAGATCTACTTTCTCAGTACTTGTATCATTCAACAAAATTCAAGATTCATCAATACATAAAAAGATAAATACATGTAGATATAGGCACACACACACACACACACACATATATATATATACCTTGGGAGGTGGGGGAACAAGGGGGGGCATGTCCCAAGTCAGACGAGGTCTCTTCCTGGGGCGTTTATCCATGTTTTCGTGAGGGAAATCTATGATCCTCTGAGTCTCCATTTACGAATTCAACGGAGACAGAAATCGACGACAACACATCAAGTAAGAAAATTTGGATTTTCGAAGGGAAAATTACAGAATTCGGTGAGAAAATCCATGGATATTCGTTTTCCGAAACCCTAGTTCCGTGCAGCTGCGCGAGAGGTGGAGAACCCGACCTGAATATGCTGTGGTGGAACTAACCATGGTTTATGTGATCGTATTTCTAACCATGGTTAAAAAGGTGGGTTGATGATGTTTGAGGATAAAAGATTTAACCCCACCAAAAAAAGGGATAAAAGATTGAAAATATATAATAATTAAAATTAAATGGTACGGATTGAAAAATATAATTAAAATAAAATGGTACGAATTGGAAATAAGGTCTTGAAATGTATAAAAAAAATGAAAGATGGCTCAACACACAGGTTTATCACATGTCATAATTATGACATAGATTTATTATTTTATATTTTTAAATTATCATAAAATATGACATAGATTTATTATTTTATATTTTTAAATTATCATAAAATTATTTATTTAATTTTTGAATTTTTATTGAGTCTATTTAATCTCTAAATATATAAATTAAAGTTCATTTAATCCATAAACTAAAGATTGAATTTATTTTGTCTCTAAAATATTTATTTCAAGTCTTCGGAAGGATTACAAAAAATAAATATATAAATCCATAATATTGTAATTAAAATTTTATTTCAAAAAAAATCTAAAATTTTATTTCGTCTTTGAAAAGTGGATGTCAATCCTTATGGTGAATTTGTTTTATAAGGGTAAAAGTAATTATTTATAGTATTTTTTTACTTAGCTTCTACAATGGTAACATGTTTGCCTTTATGTAATATTATATGCCAAATTTTGTTTATAATTTCTAATGTATTGTTTTTAACGTTTTCACCAAGTTCTTTTTATTACTTAATTAATGTATTATTTTGTTCTATAATTATTTAGAGCGAACTATTATTATTTAAATTATCTAATTCTACTTTTTCAGTATATCCAATATTTATATAATTTATTAGTAAGACTGATAAACGAGACTGTAATATTAATTTAAACACATAACGGAATAAAATACCTTTTAAAGACAAAACAAAAAAATTTAATTTTTTTGTAATAAAATTTTAATTGGATAGGGTCTTTTACTAATTTATAATACTTATGTGCATATATTTTATTTTTGTAATCCTTTCATGGATTAAATAGGTATGAATTAAATATTATGGGGTGTTTTAGGAAGTTGGTAAAAAGCTGGCTTTTGACTTTTTATCAAGCTTTTTGGCTTTTTATCAAGTGATTTGGGAAGTTTGTAAAAAACTGATTTTTTTATTTTTGGTTTAATATTTTTTAAAAGTGTCAAATCACTCCAAAATGATCAAAATATCCTTACTTTTTAATTTTTGAATTAATTAATTAAAATGTTCCAGAGGATAGTTTGGTAAATTTGGGTGTTGCTTTTTTAGATCTTTCCAAATGGGATTTTCAGCGTTTTGGCCAAGCTTGGCGTTTTTGAGCAAATGGCAAAACGTGGCTTTTTGTGTAGGTTGCCAAAACGGCACTATAGTGACTTAATCAATTCAATCGATAGTTTAGGGACTAAATTGCCTTTGATTTATATGTTTTAGGGACTGAATAGATGCAATCTATAGTTCAAGAATTAAGTAGACAATTTAACGATAGTTTAGGGGTAAAAATTGTAACAAACCCTTATGAGATTTGTGATCTTTAGTTACCACCTTATTAATTATGACTCATTGTGATATTAGTTATGATCATTGTGGTGTTGGTTATAACTAATATTTTGGTTAAGATTCAAAGAATCTTTAATTTATGTGGTATTTAGTTATAACAATTATGATATTTGTGATAATCAATATCACAAACGTCATAACTTACATATGTGTATAGTAGTATAGAAAATTGGTAGAATCCAGCATCATTTGAAAACTTTGCTAGCATTTTAGTTGATTTTTTATTTTTTTGTGAGATGAAAAATTTGTGTTTTTGGTGATTTGTGATTTGTGATTTTTTTTTTTTTTTTTTAGGTGATTTTTTTTTTTTTTTTTTTGTGCAATTGAATAGATGGTTTTGAGAGAAAAAGTGATTGATTAATGTGTAAAATGTGACATTTTATTTTATTGACTCTTTTAATTATTTTTTTAATCTTTATTAACTATTTTAATCAAAATCTAAATAAAGCCCAAATATTAGAAAGTGTAATAAAAAAGCTAGAAGAAAATGAAAAGTTAGATTGACCCAAGACATTTAATAAAAATTAGGTAAAATTTTATTTGTGTTTAATGTAAACCATTTGTCTTAAGAAAATGACAAAAAATATATATTTCAGTCATTAAATTCAATATATATATATATAATCTCTAAAATATCTTTTTAATGAGTTTAATGATCAAATTATTATTTTATCCGTTGATTTTACTTAAGGAAAATAGACAGATAGTTTATATTAAAAATAAATCAAAAGATTAGAGTTTATTGACAAAATTAAAATTTCCATATAAATTTTGTCATAAGGATTCAAACCTTAATTTTTTTTTCCATAATTTTTCCTAAAAATTATATGAATTTATTTAATCTAAGTAAATTAAAGAAAATTTATTAATATATTTAATTTAAAAGTATGGCAAATAATATCAATTTGGTGGAAAGTTTTTTTGAAAAATATTAACTCATATGGAAAAGGAAAAATAATATTAAATACATTAAAATTTAGACAAAAATGCCCTCACCCCTTGCATCTTCTTTTTATTTCCTTTATCTCTTTATCCATTTCTTTCATTCAGTAAAACTTCAACCAAACAAAGCATGCCTCTTTACTTCCTTCTCTCCCTTTACTCACTTGAGATCATGAAAGAGTTAGAGTTTTTAAATTATGGGTGTAAGGTTACAGAAGAGGTAGGGATACTAGTGAAACAGATGTAAACGACAATAGAAATGGTAGGAGATGTGGATGAAGGGTGAAAGGTCGAGTGGTAGTGTATTTGTGGTATGTAGGAAAAATTTACCATCCGGTGAAGATGACATTAGAAAACACCTTTGCATCTTTATTAAACGCTTCCTATAAACACAAGTAAATAATACTCTGGTTAAGGTCATTAGCTAGGAGACTCTCTGATACGTAAGTCAATGTTTAACTATCAATAGAATGGTAAATATAAATGTCATTGATTGTGTACTTGGTTCGATGGATTTGTTGCTTACTTATGGTTAACTGCTCATGATTGTTGTAGTTGTTAATAAACTTTAGTCTCTACCCCCTTTCGTTTCGTTTTCCTTGGAATCATGTCCATATTCGCGATATTATACAAATGGATAAACACATTCCAACTCATAGTAGACTTACCATTGACTTGGTCCACCCTCTACTTGGGTTAAGTCGTTCGACCTATTACATAGCTCGACAGCTAGTCAAAGACTATGCTTGATGATGTTGCCAAATATCCTATTTGGCTAGCAAGTTGGTAGCTTGGTCACGTAACAATTTAGCTCATATTTACCTCTTACATATGGCGATTGAATTAATTGACTAAATGTGTTGAAAATATAGTGAATGAGAGTCAACTTTATAAAAATTAAGTTACAAAAATTTTAAAGGTAAGTCATTTTTGAAAAAATGATGCAAAGATATTTCCCTTAAAAAATGTTTTACTTGCTTTTTGTTTAAGCAAATAACAGAAAATAAGTAAAGTATTATTGACAAAAACATTTTACGTCAAAATAAACGGAGCCTAAAATTTGAACCTTATAATAAAATAAATCCTGAATTTTTAACTTTATCAATTTAAACTATAATATTTTGATTTATTTTTAATCTAAATCATTTGCTTATTTTCATTAAGTAAAAGTGATAGAAAATAATATTTTAATTATTATATTCAATGTAGTTATATAGAAAATATATAAAATACTACTTTACATTAAGTTTAATAACTAAAATATATATTTTTTTTTTGGTTAGTTTTACTTAACAAAAATAGGCAAATAATTTATATTGAAAATAAATCAAAAGATTAGAGTTTAAATTGATAAAATTAAAAATTAAAAATTTGTTTTATTACAAGCCTCAAACCTTAAATTTATTTTACTAGTGAAAACCCGTGCTATGCACGGGATGTGAAAAAATTAATAAAATATATTTATATGAAATAACATAAATTAGGTTTTTGTATGTAAATTATGAAATAAGAATAAAATATTGAAACTTACAATTTAAGTTTTATAATTTTATAACAATTTATGTATCAATTTTTAATTTGTCGCAACTTCAATAATGTAACTTACAACCCCCTTACTAAAGTTGTAAATTGGGCGAGTTGAACCCAAGCAACTCGAGTCAAACTTATAAATTTTGAATAAATTTGAATAAACTTTGACAGAGACACCAAATAACCTAAACAATCGAAACAAAATTATATATATAAATATATAAAATTATTTGTTATTTTATTTTTTAATAATAAATAAGATTAATTAAAAATTTAATATTAATGAACAAAGACAAATACACCTTTTAGAAAGGGATTATGAAATAAGCTGATATTAAAAAAAATATATTTTATAATAGCATAAAATAATCTAAATATGATTTTTCAAAATTTATTTTTAATTTAAAAATTACAATGAAATACTTAAATATAATAAAATTAAATTTTTACAAAATAAAAGTATCTGTATAAATAAATAAATAAAAAGGTAAGAAGAAAATTTAGAGAGAGAGAGAGAGTTGTCTGGCATCGATTGTGACTCCTCCAGCGTCGACCCTCCTCCTCCTGCCTCAATCCGGCCTTGATACTTCTCCTTCGACCTTGACCCAGCCTCGATCCTTTTCCTCCAGCCTTGATTGTGACTCCCCCCGACCTCGATCATGACTCCTCCGGCCTTGATCGACGGTACCCCTCTCCCTTTCTCTCTCGCTTTTATGGATTCTTTGAACAGCAAAGTGAATGAAGAAAATGAGTAGAGTTAGAGATAACGTATATATTACCGTTGTAGTTGGGAAATTGAAAAATGCTCCTCTACATATTTGAACCATGGTATGTGTTACTGTAGCTCCGCATTTTTGGGCTTTTATTTTCTATTTAAAAACCAACGTAAACTCATTTTTTGAGTTTACAACTTTTCTACAAATTTACAAACTGAGACAACCATTTATAAACCTAAAAAAATTATGAAACAAGTTTTTATGATAGTTTTTTAAATTTTTGTAAATATAAATTGAAAACTAAAAACAAAAATGTAACTGTAAATACCCCATTTTTGACAGCCCTTTAAGACTTTGATGTTCTTGCAGGTACATCCGTTGACGAGTTTGATTGCTCGCTTAGCGCTCGAAGTCATCGGTGGAACGCCACAGGTTTGAGCATTTCAAACCCTACATCCATTTTGTCTCATCTTTGGACCATGCTTAGGTCTTTTCAGCATGAAGTTTTAGATGGCTTGTCGGCCATCCTTGGAGGCTGCTGGCCACAGCTTTTCCTTTGCCAGCCATTGATGTGCCCTGCCAACCATCAATGAAGCCTTGCCGGCCATCACTGATGGCCGCCCGGCCACCAGTGTTTCTTGAAGATATTTTGTGATATTTTGTACCAACTATTTACACAGGTTCATGCATCTTCCAACACGTGTATGGTTGGATGTTTGTAAGGAAATTTTATATTTTCTATATATAGAACCCCTCTCTCTCTTGTGGAGGGGTTAGAAAAATTTAAGACACAAAAATTCTCTCTCTCTAGATTTCTCTTTCTCTCTCTCTCTTGCAAATTTGTGTGTGTTTTCTTAGTTTCTCTACACTTTGGCCTACATCTCCTAAACCAAATCCTCTTACCTTTGAGCTGAGGTTACTTAGGGCCTTCTTGGAGCTAACGCTACCTTTTTTTCTCAACTGCTGGAAAAAAGGCTTCATCCGATCTGAAGACTTACTGGTGAACCAATTCAGGGCGGCCACCATTCCGGCCAGCTTCTGTAGCTCTTTAGCCTTCGTTGGCTCTTTAAGCTCTTGTATTACTTTGATTTGATCTACATTTGCTTCGATTCCTCTGTGGGTGACCATATATCCCAAGAACTTCCCCGTTCCTACCCCGAAAGTGCATTTCGAGGCATTAAAGCGAAGCTGATGGTTCTTCAAGATACCAAAGACTTCTCTTAAGTCCGCAAGATGGTTTGTAAAGAGCTTGCTTCTTACTATCATATCATCTATATATGCTTCCATGGTCTTCCCCAGTTGGTCCTTGAACATTCGGGTGATCATCTGCTGATAGGTTGCTCCGGCGTTCTTAAGGCCGAACGACATTACTTTGTAGCAATAAGTGCCCCTTGGAGTGATAAATGTTGTCTTCTCTTGATCCGGACAGAGCAATGGTATCTGGTGATAACCGCTATAAGCGTCTAGAAAGCTCATACGCTCATGCCCTACTGTTGAGTCTGCCAGTTAATCAATGTGAGGCAGAGGAAAACTATCCTTGGGACAAGCTTTGTTTAGGTATGTAAAGTCAACGCAGACTCTCCATTTTTCGTTCTTTTTTACTACAACTGTGTTGGACAGCCATTGTGGGTACTAAACTTCTCTGATCGCTCCCGAAGCTAGGAGTTTTTCGACTTTAGCAATTACTGCTTCAGTGTGCCAACTGAGGATCTCCGACTTTTCTGTACGACAGGTCGAGTGGAAGGGTCGATGTTGAGTTTGTGGCAAGAAAATTCTAGGTTCAACCCTGGAGTATCATATGCCGACCACGCGAATACCTCCATATTTTCCGTCAATAATTCAAGCAGCTAAAGTTTCTCATCAGCACCTAGTGAGGTACCGATAAGGAAGTACTTTTCTGGATCATCCTCCTTTACCAGGACTTTCTCCAAATCCTCTACCATCTTTTCCTCTGGGGCTCCCCCTACATCTTCCAAGACTGGCTGTTCGGCCATTTCCACTGTCTGTACCCGGTTACAAAGTTGCTTAGCCTTTAATGTTGCCATGAAGCAATGTTTGGACGCAACTTGATCCCCTAAGATCTGCTCTACTCCGTGTTCCGTTGGGAAACGGATAAGCTGGTGGTAAGTTGAAGGGACCGCTTCCATTTGGTGAATCCATGAATGGCCTAGTATGGCGTTATAAGGGGAAAGTGTATTAATAACTAGAAACTCTATCTGGAGGGTCTTCGTTCCTGCTACAACTGGCAATGCTATTCTGCCAAGTGACCATTCTGGCTGTGAATTGAAGCCAATTAACGGAGCTGCCGCTGGGGTGAGATGCTGCTCGGAGAGGCCAAGCTTTCTGAACAAGTCATAATACAATATGTCTGCTGCACTGCCTTGATCTACCAGGACTCGTTTTACATCAAACCGTTTCCCAATTCCCACAATTATAATTAGTGCATCAGTATTTGGGTGCTCTATGCCTTCTAAATCCTTTCTAGTAAATAAAACAGTGCACAAGGGGGATTTGGGTGCCGTGCGTACCTTTTTCGATGCAGGCTCTATTGACATGACCTGCTGAATTTGCACAGCCTTAGCAATCTCTTCTTTCAGTGCCTCTTCATGTTCCTGGGTCGCTGTTCCATGGATCACGTTTATTATCAGCCGAGGTGGGTGCTCAGTGTTCAGTTCTGGTGGTGGGTTCCCTGGCTCGGTCACTGCTTTATCCTGATCAATGTAATCCCGGAGGTGTCCAGCTGCTTCTAAGTCTTCCAAGTGTTGCTTCAGCGCTCTGCAATTCTGAGTCATATGCCCCATGTCTTGGTGATAGGTGCATCTGAGCTTCTGATTACGCCGAGCGGGATCTCCCACCATTTTCGGCGGCCAAGTAAAGAAGGGCTCTCTCTTGATCTTTTCCAGGATACGATAGATGGGTTCCTTGAATACGGTCACGACTGTTTCATGAGATTTGGACTTATCTACCTCATTCACTGTGAGTCCCCGATGTTCCCCTTGGTCCGTTCTCTTCTTGTGCCAAGCTGTTTGTTCTGCAGATGCTTCCTCGATGGGGATCTGGTCATCCTCGAGGCGAGCGTACTACTCAATCCTGGCACGTAGATCTTTCAGTGCTGTGGGTGGGCACTTGGTAAGTGATTGTCTCAACTTACTTTCCGAACGCAGACCATACTTGAAGGACATAACAGCCATCTGCTCACTGCAAACGTTTTCCTCTAAGTCATTGTATTCTTTCTAATACCTCCTAGCATAACTGCGCAGGGTTTCTTCCTACTCCTTTCGGAGACCGAACAGTGTATCCGGCTCTTTCGGGATCTTAGTGTTGGAGACAAACCTGGCTAAGAACTCTTCGGAGAGCTGCTTCCAGTCATAAATTGATCCAGCGGGGAATCGATCGAACCATCGAAGTCCGGTTTCTCCCAAGCTGGACGGGAAGACTTTGCACATCAGTGCCTCATCTCGGCCCCATAGAGACATCATCTGTCTATAATGGCTAATATGCGTCAATGAGTCTGACTTCCCATCGTACGACGTGAACTTTGGCGGGGTGAATTTCTTGGAGGGTCTCATGGTCTCAATTTCTGGGAAGAATGGGGAGGAGACAAGCCTATCCAGCGCTCGGTGCTCTCTCTGGTGAATGGTACAGTCTAGATGATCCCGACGTTGTTCGTTCTGCTTGTTGCCAACCAGCCAAGTACGAAGGTCTTGAGGAGGGTACTCAGTTTGTTGGCTAATCGTCTTCTGCCTCTTAGCCCTTCTCCGGCGTGACCCACGGGTGTGGCTGTTCGCTGCTTCACTCTGTACCGGGGCTGGCTGGCTTTGTTGCCAAGACTCATTTCTAGGGAACTTCTTCACTGGTGGCTCTCTGGATAAGCTCATCCGTCGTAAGCGAGAGGGCTCTACATCAGTCTTCTTTTCCGTTGGATCACCCAGCATCCTTTTAAATTGCGCTTTCAACTCCTGTATCTCCATCCCCATGGAGTCTATGATTCGATCTATGTAAGCCTTTCCAAAAGAAAGTGATGACAAGAACCTCCAGCGAAGGGCAATCGATGCTCAACGGATTCGGGGGTCCGGTTATTGTTTCCAGTTTGTTCTTTTAGGACCGTTGGGAGTACCAAGCCTTTGTCCTTTGTCTTCTCCGTCTATGGAGTATGTATCGAAGGTGGGACGTCCTCAATCCCCATCGCCAGAACTGAGTGCAAAGCTCAGAGACAAAGTGATCTACGCTCACCGCACCAATTGCGCGTACCGGATACCGCACTAGATGAAAGTGGATCGGGGCTCCGCACTAGGTTGGACTATCTAGGGAATGAGGTCCCTGCAGCAAGAAGCACCGTAAGAGTTTCCTGGCCGGGGTTGGCCGGATAACCCCTCTGGTGTGGGAATCAGTGATCGGAGAAGAAGTGTAAAGAGTTCAGTTTTTAGTAAGTGGGGTTCAGCTTGGATCAGTTACCTTCAATGTGAAGTTGATGTAGTTTGTATAGAGCTCATTGCTTGTTTCCCAAGATGGTTTCATGGAGCTCTGGTACTGCCAAGTTTCCTTTTAGCATGGCCCCAGGTGGGGGACCATCTGGTAGTTGCCTAGAGGTGCTTATACTCATTATAGTCATGCTGATAACAAACCACATTCCTCTAGTTTAACTACTTCCGTGATTCTAGGTGTTGGGGACCAGCTGAGGTGGCAACTTACACATGCATATGCTCATAGTTTCCACGTTTCTTTGAGAGGCTCCCTCAGCTCGACATCATTATGCCTCAGCTCGGCCCTTTGCGAGGCTTCTGTTGGGATGAGCTTGCCCATTTAGATATTTGTGTACGCATTCGGCCCACTTTGGTTCTGATGATGGGTTCAACCCATCAGTTCGGCCCATAGAATGGATCCTGCAACTCAGCCCTAGCCCAGTATCGCAGTTGGACTAGCCTTTCCACTGCGAATTGGGCTCAAGTGCTTGAGGACTTGGGTGGACTGTTAGTAACGAAACTAGGCTTAGTTGGGTTGCCCATATGCTCATTTGACCCATTTGGATTTGGGCTTGGGGGATTGGATCGGCCCAAGGCTTGGGTCCGACCTATTTCTTATTTAGCCCCTTCAAAGATCATTCATTCATAGATATAGATAAATAAAAGCTATATTGCTAATTTTACTTCTTGAGTTTTGATCTATTATATATGTATAAATTCTGAGAAAGATCAAAATCATTCATTCTTATAGATAAATAAAAGTCATACAAAGCGTGAACAAAGTCAACCCTTATTTGGCTTCGTCATGAGTGATCTGTTATATTTAAGAAATTTGAATTATTGTTTCACAATTCTTGTGTGGCTGAATTTCATCGTCCACTTTCGTCATTCTTCTTAGCCGATTTCATCGCTTTAGCATGTGACTAAAAAAAAAAAAGTTATAGTGAGAAATTTGTTTAAATTTTTTTGAAAGTGATGTAATTTGAGATTTTTGATTTGTTTATTATATAAGTGTACCTTGAAAGATAATTTGAAGGAAAAAAAAAAGGATGTATTGAGAATAACTTATAATCTTAAATAATTTAATAAGATATATTGAGAAATTAAATGTACTTAATGATTTTTTAGGTGTAAATAGAATCCCCTTACCTATATTCGTTGATTGGGAAAAAAAACCGAGCTTTGCCCTACACCAAGGAAAGCCACAAACGTACACGTAAAAAAATGATTTAAATTCAAAAAAGGAAAAATTGATTTTCTCACAATTTTCATCCTCGCAAACATTGAAGGTAAGCAAGAAAAGCTAGACACTCGCATAAAGAAAGAGAAATTTGAAGCCTAAGGAGTGATTTGAAAAGTTCTAAATAAGTGTATTTTTAAAATTTTTTATAAAAAATATATATATAGAAAAATAGAAAAAGTGAATAGAAAAGTAGAGATGAGATGTTAATTGACATGGCTCAAATAAGTGTATGTATGTAAAAAATATATATATATTTTTTTTAGTGCATGCCAAACCTACTAAGTGCACTTTTTGACTTTTTGGGGTTGTTTGGGTGTTCTAAATAAGTATACTTTTTAACTTTTTGGACTAAAAAATAGAGGAAAAAAATATGATTGTTTGAGATAATTTTTTGTCTTTTTACGAAAAAATGTGTATTAAAATATTATATAAAATAACAAAATTATAAAATTACCCCTATGTCCTAGACTGGTGTAGTTGCGCTGATTTTCTCTCACCTTTCATTTTTTTTTTAATTTTTAATTTTTTTTTATTGTAAGTGTGGCTTACATTGTACCACGTTTTGCACTTTTATGAGAAATTGTGGATGCTGCAGCAGTGGCTGCACAGCTTGGCCTGTTTTGAATTATTTTTTTTTTTGGACAGATTTCCGGTCAAAAAATATGTGAATAGTATAAATTTTTTTACTTTTTTAGAAACTTTTTAACTTTTTTATATCATGTCAAACCAGCCCTAAATATTATTCATCTTCTCACAATTTTCATTTATCACAAACATTGAAGGTGTTTACATTTTCTCTTTATTTTAGTTATGAGATTAAATTCACGAATTACCGAAAATCGGTTAAACCACTCCACATCAGCAAAAGTGGGCTCCACCAAACAAGCAAAAAATAAATAAATACGTAAAAAATAAAAAAGTAAAATTTTCTTAAAAGTGTTTTCTGAAAATCAAAATCAAATAAGCTGATTAATTTTTTAAAACTACCTTTCATTTTTTTTAGAACATCAATTGTCATAATTAATAAATTTAAAAGAATGAAAAAAAAAAGAAATTCATGTTAAAGGGACTAAATTTTAGAACAATGAAAAATAGAATAAGAAGCTAATATTTTAGAACGGATTGAGTAATTTATTTTAGATCTCTAACGTTTCTTTTTTATAGGAATTTGGAATTGGTGAGCTAATTTTAGAGTTGACCTTGATGATTCAAACTATTCACCTTTTAGTATTCGTTAAATATAATATTTATGAATTTTTTTTAAAAATAATCGAATATTGATAGATATGTGTTTGAATTATATTTGTATTACAAAAATGAATAGTTATTATTAAAATTATAATTATCATACATTTTTTAAAAATAAATTTGATTTAAACATATAATCATCAATGTTTGATTAATTTTTTACATAAATTTTCTATGAGCATTGCTATTCAAATCGAAAAATTAGACTCATTTTTCAAGCCTAAGTTTAATGATGTGATAATTAATTAAGATATTTAAAACAAATGCTCTCTTATATCTTTTCTAATTATCGACTAATCATATGATTTGTGAGATTAAATTATTCACAGATGAATTGTAAACCAGTTATTTACGAAAACCAGTTAAACCACTCCTTTTCTTCTGACTTCCCTTCTCTGTCCGATCACTCAACCTCCATTGTAAAAGCATCAGCATTAGTATCTTCAAAATAACAAAAAGTTAAAATATAGCTAATAAATCATCAAATTCTCCCTCCATCAATCTCAACAAATTTTTGTTAAATTAACTTTTTGTTAAATTTGCTACAGTAACTCCTCTGATGAAGCGAGGAACTGTTCATCGCTACAACACGTGATTTGGGTGTAACCGGTCAACGACAATTTTTTTTTTTTTTTTTTCCAGTTTATCTTTTGTAAAACATAAGAATTTTTTGTTTGATAGGTCATCAATTTAATTATAAAAAAAAGAATAACAAATATTTTAATAGGATTGAGTTAAAATAGAGAGTTTGTTACAGTGGGTGACTAGCTAAAATAGAAAAATAACTTTTTAAGTTATAATTTGACTCAAAATTTGCTGATGCTGAGGCTGATGCGGATGCTCTAAC